CTACACAGCTATCATCTGCCTACTAATTGACAATGCAACTGTTGACGCCAGCAGCCCACGAAGTACTTGAAGATGTCGCCCATAGCAGACCATCGCCAATACCAGGTATGTGCCCTCACATCATCATCATCATCATCATCATCCTTCTCTCTCCCGCTTCTTAGACCCACGTCTTCCCTCAGTACACCTGAAGACCATCCCTGCGCCTCACTGTATAACCAAGCCCTCAGCCAGCTATAGAGGCTGGGCTATGGCGCTGCCCTCAGCAGCGCCCTGTTTCCACGGACGACCGCACGTGCGCAGCACCTTGCTCCAGCGCTAGCAGCCGGCACGCGAGCAAAAGCCCCAGCAGCGCTACCGCCAGCCAGCAAGTGCCTGAATGAGGCTCCAGGCAGCGAGCTCATTCCTATATGGAAAGAGCCTGCCTGCCATCGCAGCCTGGCTGGCCTGGGCCTGGGCCCAGAAGCTTCCGGTAGGCCCCAGGATGCTGCGCCTCTGTTGCAGCTACTGGGCCTCATTCGGTTGGGCCTCCCAACTGTCTGTGTATGAGCCTGCGATTCTCGTCCAGGGCCTGCATCATTTTGGAAAGGCCTGGAATGCCGTGGAATGTCTCGCTGCTCGGCCTGTGTTTCCCTCAACCAACTGGCGCGACGAAACTGCCTGGACCCCAAATACGATATNAAGGCCTGGAATGCCGTGGAATGTCTCGCTGCTCGGCCTGTGTTTCCCTCAACCAACTGGCGCGACGAAACTGCCTGGACCCCAAATACGATATTGACAGCTTAGGGCCTCTCGTGATTTGTTAGGCCCGCCTTCACTTAGGGCGGGGACATCTGCAGCAAGAGGCCCCTGAGGCCTGCCGAGAACCCAGATCCTCGCATTCCCTCCTCCTTTTCTTTGATAGTCCTCTGAGAAGTCTTCTAATATGCAGGCATCTTCCCCTTGAGTTCTCTTTCGTAGCCTGCAATAACTTGGGGTGCTGTTCGCATGAGTTTTTCTCTGGTGAACCACCGATCTTCCTTGGGATCCAGATGATGTCTGAATCTCTCACGATATTGCATTCTTGGCTTAGGAGGGCGGCCTCTGCCCGGCGTTTTAGGCATTGGCATCACTCGATGCTCTACAATTCCGTTGACGTTGACTTCGCCATCCATGGTTGGGGGCAGCATTGACCGTCTGGAAGGAAACTGTGCAGTCTCTGTGAAAGGTGCCAGCTTGGATGCGTGAAAAACTGGTTGTGTACGTAGATGAGATGGGACATGAATCACATGAGGAGGTCTGACCACCTGATCCCCCGCTATGTCTAGGACCTCCAAGGGACCGAAATACTGTGGCATTAGTTTTCTAGATATTCCCAGTTCCTGTCCCAGTTCAGATGATTTTACCCAGACCCTGTCCCCTACTTGAAAGTTAGAAGGCCATCTGTGCTTGTTCTCAGATGCAATCATAGCATCTTGAGATTTCCTCATGTGCTCAATGGCCTGCTGCAGCATCTGTTCGTATTTGACAGCAAATTCTACGCTACCGGGTGCTGCAGTGGCCTGTTTCTCAGGTAGTAAGAAATCAAGGGCGGAACGGGGCTTCCAACCAAGATGCAGTTGGTTGGGAGTCATACCAGTAGTGCTATGTACAACGTTGTTGTACAGGCTGGCGACGAGAGGCAGTTTCTCGTCCCAGTCATCCTGGCTTGGCTTGACGTAGTGCCTTAGTACATGCTGCACTATTCTGTCCATCCGTCTTGGTTGGGA